CCGACGAAACAGTTTGTCACAGCCCCTCGTTTGTTGTCCTCTTCTCCCTCTCTGCCTACGGTTTACCGGGCAGTTCTATTTGACGATATATATATACACGTACGTTCGGGCGTTCGGGGTCCCGTACGGGTCCCGAACCCGACGGCGTTCGGCCCCCGCCAAAAATTATTTCGGGTCCTAAAAATATTTTTTTTTTTCTGAATTTTTTTGTACGACTTCTCTATGACGTGAGGTACATGCCTATAAATTTTCAAGTCATTTCTCTTATCCAAATAAGAATTAAAAATCGCCAAAGATGGCGGTGTCAAAACGTGCTCGCCCACTTTTTTTCCACTTTTTACTTTTTGTTTTCACTTTAGTTCGGGGTCTAAACAATTTTATTATTTTTTGAAACTTTTTTAGTGGGTTTTGTATTACGTGAAGTACACATGTGTAAATGTGTAGGGCATTTAGCTATGCCAAAGAAAAATGAAAAATCGCCGAAGATGGCGGTGTCGAAAACATGCTCGCGCACTCACTAAATTTAATTCTCTTTTTATTTTTTATTTATTTTTATTATTAGTATTTGTTCTGTGTATTTTATTTTTATTTCAAATTTGGTAAGGAATTCGGACTTAATGCTCAGGCAAATCTTGTTTAATTTATTTTTTTCCATAACATATCTTTTTTCCATATTTTTTTGATGACTTGTTTTTTTTTTGTTTTTTTGTTTTTTTTTGGGTCCGTGTTCGGCCTGAACGGCCGAACGCATCCCTAAGGGGTCCCATACGTTCGGGCGTTCGGGTTCAGGCGTTCGGGTTCGGGAGTTCGGCCCGTCCCGAACGCCGGTTACCCTGTATATATATATATACGATATATATATCGTCAAATATATATATAATAGTGATTGGGAAGCACTTAGTTTCCATTCTGGCCGCCCATAATACCAAGAGCTAATCCAAAATCACCTAGGCTACCAGAGTGGCCCAAGACCACTTGCCCGACCGGCCTAAAAAGAAATTAAATAATAATATATATATACGGTTTACCGGGCAGTTCTGTTTGTGACGATATATATATCGTCACAAATAGAATTGCCCGGTAAACCGTAGGCAGAGAGAGAGAAGAGGACAACAAACGAGGGGCTGTGTATATATATATGTGACGATATATATAATATATATACATATAATCTACATATATATAATACATATATATATATAAACTCCGACGAAACAGTTTGTCACAGCCCCTCGTTTGTTGTCCTCTTCTCCCTCTCTGCCTACGGTTTACCGGGCAGTTCTATTTGACGATATANCCGACGAAACAGTTTGTCACAGCCCCTCGTTTGTTGTCCTCTTCTCCCTCTCTGCCTACGGTTTACCGGGCAGTTCTATTTGACGATATATATATGTATTATCTTATATATAACATGGCCGTCGACTAAATGTGAGCAGTCAGGAAACAATTTCCGACATTGACAGTCTGAGGGGTCAGGCAGGGAGATCCCAGGTGTGACGCTCAGTGCAACTTCCGTGAAAGTAGAGAATTGGACGCGAGTTGGCGGCAACAACTTATCATAGATACGCAGGTGTGCTGTGGCATCAGGGTCAAGGTGCAAGCGGAGCACCTGGGGTGCATGCAGGGCCTGTCGCAGCCCCGTCACCTGAGACACCTCGTGCATGTGCACAACTTCAATATGATCAAGAAAGGCATCTCAAGACTGAGTTGTGTATTGCTGGCAGACATGTTGATGATCTGCTCATTTAGACAGCCCTACCTATGATGTGCCTCTTGACTCTATCGTAGATATTCTCGAACATCACGCGCTCTGGAATCATCGGTGGGGATATACAAAGACACGCTGCCATATCTGTACTATGCACTTAAAGCGCACAAATCGCCCCCTGGGCTTCGCAGTATTGTCGGCGTCACAGAGCGGAATAATCTCTCCCTGCCGCAGCGATGTCGATCAACTGCGCCATCTGTTCATGAAGTCCACCATCGACCTCCCCACAAACCCTTGGCCAGTACTACCGTCGCTTCTGCCCGCCTCAGCGTTGCACTACAAGGAGTCATTAAAACTCTCCGTGAGAAGGATAATATGTTGTATCAGCAAAGCGGTGTGAGACGGTGCTGAATCGTGCAAAGCGTTGAGGAGTTGATGCTTGATCTCAAACGTAACTCATCTTTTCTTCATGGCCATGCTCCTCGCACTTTTGATTTCAAAACTATGTATACCAATCTTCCTCGTGACCGTATTTGTCATAATGTATCAAAAGCGGCTGAGGAAGCCTATACATATGCCTTACAACAACACACACAGGGGCACACACATCCTCTTACCCTTAACATGATTGTTAAAGGACCTCGTCAAGGGGAGTGGACGGTTGATACCGGACCGAACACCTTGACTGTTTCCCAAATTCTTGAACATCTYCATTTCATTGTCACAAACACGTATCTTTATGCAGCGGACGACACCTTGCGACATCAGCTGATTGGCATCCCGATGGGAACTAATTCTGGTCCAGAGATAGCTAATTTGACGTTGTATTGGGACGAGGCTTGATTTGTTGATGACATCCAGTGGCGTGATCTTCACACAACTCAACGGTATGCGTTCACATACCACTTGATCAATGGTGTTCTCTCATGGGGCCATTTGCCACCACCGTCAGAGCACTATGGCCTCGAATGGAAGGAGACCACAACGCCTGATGGCTCTTGCACATTCTTGGGTGCACGCCTTTGAGTCCGCCTTGACGGTTCCCTGCGTATGAGTGTCTTTGACAAAGCAGCTGAGTGGAATTTCCCTGTTATTCGTTATCCTAGTGCTACATCTAACGTCCCTGCACACCAGCCGGCGGGAGTGTTTACAGGCCAGCTTACTAGGTTTGAGTATGTCTACAACAATTGGTATGATTTCAAAACTGCAGCAGCGATGCTCACACCCCGCATGCTTTTTCGCGGGCACTCTCCAACAATGCTTGCAAAAGGATGGACTTCCTATATTGCGTAAACGTCAACACAGGTACCCTGCACACGTGACCCGCCTCTCCAGCTGGTTCCGCACCATGTTTAGATGGTCTATTCACCACCCGCTTTCTCGGATATCCACACTCTGTCACAACCCCTTCTTCATTACTGGCGCCTGTCACACCTATCACAGCCTCTTCTTCATTACTTGTGTTTGTCGCTCCTCCGTCCTCATCAGTCTTAGTAACCCCTTCCATATCGTTTGTGACCTTGGTTGCCCCTTTTCGGTTCACAGCCTCTTCCTCATCGGCCTTGGTTGCTTCTACGATTGATTCCGCGGGAGCAACTCGACCTGCTGCTGTGTCGCCCTTGGTGTCGGTGTGTTCCTCCATGGCATCCGTGGCCACTGCAGCTGCTGTGTCGCTCTTGGTTTCGGTGTGTTCCTCCATGGCATCCGTGGCCACCGCAGCTGTTGTGTCGCCCTTGGTCTCGGTGTGTTCCTCCATGGCATCAGTGGTTATGCCTGCATTACCACCTGCAGAGTCCCCTCTTCGGGTCTCACCTACGACTGCCTTCCCTGTCTCTTCTTCAGCCACTTCACCACCCTTGACTTCATCACCCCTGACTTCAT